CATCACCTTACTTAATTTCCTGATTGGTCTTTCTGTCTGCTCTGCCTCTTCGTTCAGCTGATATGCTAATTTTTCGACTTCATCCTTAATTTTTGCATACCAGTGTACATATTCAACAAAATTAAGTTTATTAGAGTACATTTTACTTACATAGATATGTATATATGCATGTATTTAATAAAAAATCAATGTGTGGCGTTTATAGGAGTACAGGGTGAAAGTATCTTAGATAAATAAAATTAGCTCGAGTCATAGGCTATTCCGAGGATATTTCAAAGTTAGTTAGCCTCCTTTCTACAAAACATGCAAAACCACCTCTCTTTCATTTCACACCCCTGTTAAATCCCGCCTGTGTGGCTGGTGTTTTCCGTATTTCATTCATTGCCAGAAGGGAAATCTTTTCATGTTAAGCGATTTTTATTTCGTGTTAAAAGAAAAAGAAAGAAAGAAAAAAAAAAAAAAAAAAAAAAAAAAAAAAAAAAAAAAATGCATGAAAATGCATACTAGTTTGTCTGGACCATTGTATTATTTCGTGCTGACCAATATTTTGTCTTAAGCGTTTTCACGTTAAACTTATTTCACTGTGTTTGAATTTTTGTATAGGTAACTCTGTAAATTGTTTGAAATAACTGATTGTGCCAAGCATATCCATGTAATTCAATATACTTCTATTGTGCATATATAGAAAAGTCATTAGTTGTTCATGCTGTGGAAGGCCATTTATAATATTTAAGTTGAATCTATTCACTTCTAGCACTACACATGTGACAACTGAATTTTTTCAAATCACTCATTCACGCTTTTATCATCCCTGAACCATTCACTTGTTATATATATCTCTCCCCCTTTCCTGAACTCTGACTTTAGAAAAAAAAAAAAAAAAAAAAAACTGAAACACATTAGTTTACTTGCCCCAAAAATAGCCCTGGGAAAAGCACTATCAAGGAAATTTTGAAGCAAAACCAGTTCTGTCAGTGGGGCCACCTGGCCAATATGCTAACTGCCACAATTGATCAGCTGCCCCACCACTAGAGGAAGGAAAGAAATTTAATTTTGGCAAAGTATTCAAGATTAACCACTGAGCAGTTAATTTTTTTTTTTTTAAACCGGTCCCCAAAATGTTTACTTTTTATTATGATTATTGCTGAAATTTTAAGAAGCATTTATGGACAAAATACATGGACAATTACTCAAATAATTTATTAATTTTACTGCATAAATTTGCTTTTCACTCAAAATTGAATTAGCAAAAATGCTTAATCAGAATAAGTTCTTTACAGCTCTGCGTTGGTTCTTGATACCTTCCATATATATACATATATATACTTCCGTCAAAGTGTCGATACGTCGATCTGTTAATTTTCAACGCACATGAAATGGCATTTCATTCCGGAGTGGATTCAACTCTGACGCACCTGCGGGAAAAATTTTGGGTTGTCAAAGGCAGGCGGCGAATTAAATCCCTGTTGAGCAGATGTGTGATTTGCAAAAGATACAGTGTTCGCTCCTGCAGTTCAAAACGTAGCTCCACTTCCTCCAGATCAAATTCTTCAGTCACCACCGTTCGCGGTAACTGGATTGGATTATGCTGGACCTTTTTTCACTAAAGGGAGCAAGCAACAATAAAAATTGCCTTTTAGTATTCACTTATGCAGTAACGCATGCTATTCATTTAGAACTGGTAACTTCGATGAATACGGAAGTGTTTTTATTGGCCTTTAGAAGACAGCACGACAAGGACTGTGTTCAATTACATACAGTGGCAACACAAAATCATTGAAATGCACAGACACTGAACTAAAAAAAACTGTGGACTTGCATTTCTGATCCTTCTGTAAAGAATTCTTCTCTTCTCACGATATTTATTGGAAATATATAATTGAAAGGGGAGCATGGTGGGGAGGATTTTGAGGAAGAATGATCAGAACGATCAAAACCAAGTCTTAGAAAAATTGTTGGCCGTTCATCGCTCTCTCTCTCTCTCTCTCAATGAACTGGAAACAGTGTTCATTGAGATTAAAGCCATGATCAATTCTAGGCCCATTACTTACTTATATCGTGAACCCTCTCCATTCACTCCTGCACATTTTTTGATAGGTAGACGTTTGCTATCCCTTCCTCCAACTAGAATAACTAAGGGTGATTTATCAGGATCGAGAAAATCTATTGTGAAAAAATTCAAACATCAGCAGAATATATTAAATATTTTTTGGAAATGCTGGAGGAAAGGGTTATTTATTAAATTTAAGATCTGCTAATATGTGCCAGCAAAATTCAAAGGCAACTGAATTCAAACCAAATGAAATAGTGTTAATCTCTGAAGAACGCTACCCAAGAAATATGTGGTCTCTAGGTAGAATTATAGAGACTTTCCCTGGAAGGGATGGCAGAGTGTGCTCATGTTCAATCAAAACTGGCAGTGGACTAATAAGAAGGCCAGTTCAACTGATTTACAATTTAGAGCTCAATGACTGAGTCTAAAATTTAAAAATTTACAGTATGATATTCATAAGATTGAAACTTTATTTTTGTTTTTCATTATTGTGTTCTTTTAATTGTTATGTGCTAATAGTATATTTATTCCTCTATTCTTTGTATTAATAGTTTATTCAAGAAAGCTTTGTATGGAAAACTTGTTTAGAAGAGCACATGTAAAAATATGGTAATTACTTTATTGCAATGTGATTGATGTAAATCCAAATTATGGAAATTGGTAAGTATTGTTATCAACTCTATGTTAAGAGTTTATGTGGGGAGTGTTAAGAAATGCCTGTAGAGGGAACTGTACCCTGTGCTCTTCAGTGTAGATGTGCTTAACTATGAGTAAGAATGCTTGTAAGGGAGTAACTGGCCCTTATAATTAACGGCACAATTAACACTACACTTTATTTCAGTAATCATGAAAATAAATTTCTTTGTTGTTGTTGTTCAAAACTAAGCCTTTCATCGCCTATTACGTACAAACTGAACCACCAAGATAGTTATAAGTTTTGGTTAGTAAAAACGCCACACGGTAGTATACAACACCTGAACAAAAGTGTGCATTTCACAACAAATCAAAGCACAAAAAAAGGAAGGAATTCTGTTCTACAGATCATTACTGCCCTCTATGCATTAAAAAGGGAACTAGAATAACTTAGACACAACAAGAAAAAATATGAGTTTTGAAATATGATGACCTCACCACATAAGGGCAAATCATGCTGGGCTTAAAAAAAAAAATCACTGTGTGAGGTAGAGGACAAAACTGATAAGTGGTTAAAAGAGATGCCTTTGCAAGGAACATTTTAAATGCTTCTATTCATGTCCCACATGATTTAAATTACAAAAATCCCAGTCAGCTTATTAAACTGCTAATTTGACAAATTTTCATAGCTTTGATAGCAATTGTAAAGTAAAATGCATTTCTTTCAAGACAGAGATGGGAACAAAATTTTTGTTAATCTAAATGACATGTGAGCACCTTGTTTATTTCATAACTATATAAATCTACTTAAAAAAAAAAAAAAAAAAAAAAAAAAAACTTGAGCAGCATTCAGAAATTCCAAGTTTGGTTAATGCAAACCATAATTCATTTTTTTAAAATAATATAAAAATTCTGGAAATGCACCTTTTTTTTTTTTTTTGAATCATTCACTACTTTATCCAATGGTACAATAAAAATATGTACCTATGAAATTTAGTTAATTTTATAAAAGTATATTAGAAAAAGTATCATTTACATGTTAAAACTATTTGGAAAATTTACACATTTTATTTTATACATTTTTATAAATTCACATATTTTACTAAATAAAGATAGCATTGTTCAACTATGAATTTTCTTAGGAAGAAAAAATATGAAGATAACTATAATTCTGGCACACATGCAAGAATAAGGACAGGATAATCATACAGCCTGCAAAGTTTATTCTAAATTCTTAGAACAGTTTAAAAAAAAAGTCCCCATATGAAAGAAGTTACCTGCACGGTCATCCAGCTCTGATAATTTCTGATCTCTTTCCAATACTTTTTCCACGTTTGTACGCATGATATCCACAACCTAATTAAAGGAGGTGATCCAAAAACGCAGCAATGCACAAAAATGAAAAAAGGGTTATAAGACACAGGACATAATTTTATCAAAGAATGAACCTGGCAAAAAACTGGAAACATTTTTCTCCAAGCAAATGTTTTACATAAATTTACAATAATTTTTTAAATAAAATTGAACTTTTCATTACTTCTTTCACAATCAATGGTATACCTTGATACAGCATATTACATTTGAACATTTACACAGTTTTATTACCTTAAACTAATATGAACCAAACAGAATGCAATAGAATTACCATCTGCATGAAGAGAGGCACACAGAAATGTAACATGTGTGCCTGAAAGTTTTTCACAAAAAAAAACATATAGCATATAATATTCCTTTTCTTTAGACTATGACACAGGAATCTTCTTTTCCCTAAATTACAGCACAAAATTTGTAATCTATAGCAGGCACTTGCTCTCTCTAGGAAATGAAAATGCATATTTTGTTTGGCATTATAGTATATTACTAAGAATTTTTTAAAGCTAAATCTCTTGCCTTTTTCAAACTTTTTGCTACACATAATTATTTTTCTATAAGCAATTACTTCAAAATATTAAAATGGTATAATTTAAAATGTATATTTGTTAAAGCACATAATGCTCAAAATCTATTCAGAAATATGCGACACTGGATTACAAATTTCCCTTTCAGACGCAACTTCAAATTAATTCTATTTTTCCACACAATAATTTATTCTTTTTTAAATAACCTTTTATAGATACATTTAACCATAAATATAACATACTGTACTAATGGGTGTGTACAAAACAACTAAGGATAGTTAATTTGGGATTTTCATTTTCAATTAAACAATACTATGCAAGAAATAAAAAATAGTTATAAATATTATAATGCATATTTGCTTTCCAACAATAATATGCCAAGTTCATTCTTGTACACTGTTTATACAGCAGCTCACCTGCGCGATCATCCAGTTCAGACAGCTTCTGATCACGTTCCAGAACTTTCTCTACATTCACACGCATAATTCCAACAACCTATAGCAGCAATAAAATTCCTCCAGATTTTTTCTGCTACTTATTACAATTTAAATTGGAACAAATAATTTTTTAAACAAAAAAATAAATATTCTTTTTCCTTTGAATAATATAATAAACAAAATTTAATATATAATACTTATTAGATCAAATTATCGGTGAATAACATGCAATTAAAATAAATCTAAAATCAGCATTAACATGAGCTGCTGCATTAAGATGTATGAATAATATATCTATAAATATGACCCATTAACAATAACAGTAGTTATATATCTTTATTTAAGATTTTAATATATAAACAGCTTAAGGCTGAAAAAATTCTTTACATAGACAACTTATACAAAAATTTATCTTTTTCCTAACAGTTCTTTCAACAGCTTCTTAAAATACCAATTTACATGGAATAACTAATTTCCTAATCTGATAATTTAAAATTTTTTATTCCTGCAAAATGAACTACAGTCAAAAGTCGTTAATTCGGACACCCATAATCCGGAATGATCTATAATCCGAACCTCAAAGCTAAAAACTTTCTGCGCATGCGCCGCGTTGGCACAGGCGCACAGGCGTTTTATGCGTGCGCGTAAGACCTTGACTACTGCGCATATGCGTGTGCGCAAGTGCAGAATACGTTTTTGCCTGCGCGTTTAATGTATAACAGACGGTGTAAGCTAAAATTATCTAATTATATATTTCAGTTAATGTTAATGATTGCGTTGTTCCTTAATCTTCGAATTGGATCCCGCTTATTATTTTTTGCAGACTGTAAGAGCAATTTTATAAAAGTAAACTTGAACTTTCGATTATGTCAAATAGAATTTCCGATGCTGGAACTTCCAAAGGATCTACAAAACGAAAGTATGTTTCGATGTCCAACAAACAAAAAAGTGGAATTGCTGCAAAAAATGGATAAAGACATGAAGAATGTGACAGAGAGGTTAGTGAAAAAAACGAAAAAATTTCGATTGACAAGTTAGTCGGTATTCTCGGCACAGCAATTAACGGGACTTGAACAGCGGGAACTTTGTAACTGAACAAGAAATTATGTCTGTTTATAGAATTAAAGAGAAAGTATTATCACATAAAACAAAGCAACTTAAACAACTTACATTGAAAGAAATGTTTAATAAAGTAAACAAATAAATATTAAGCTTTTTTTTTTTTTTTTTTTTTTTTGTAAATTTTGATACCCTTTAGATCATAATTGTTCTTTATTTCATAAATTACGGTTTCATATTTTTAATTTTAGAATTTCTGCATGCCATCTTACGAGATTTAAACTGATGATCTATAATCCGGAAAAATCGATAATCCGGAATCGCCGAAGTCCCGACGAGTCCGGATTAACGACTTTTGACTGTATTATACTGAATTATTAATTAAAAAGCTTTTTTAATCAAAAGCTTTTGCCTTCTGTGTTAAATACTTAAAATATTATTTACATTTTGATGCATAAAAGTTTATTTTGTTTAAAAAGAAATCTCTTTTTTGCGTGTATAAAACACACTTCAATATTTTCAGAAGATAAAATTAAATGATCTAATTCTTTTTAATATGACTGATCTGCTACTACTACTGCTTTTAATATGACTGATCTGCTACTACTACTGCTTTTAATATGACTGATCTGCAGAGATTTGTACCAAGAAAAAAGAAGATATTCCAAATCCAATGAATGTCAATCCTAAAAAAAATCTGAAAGATTTCTTTGAAAAATGAAGGTCTTTAAAAAAACTAAACATGGCTAAAATGCATGGATTGGTTTGTGTTGCACTGTCATCTAGTAAAAATAAAGTAGGTTAAAAGTAACCTATAAAGGGTTTTCCATTTAATTTCTCTGTGTGTACTGAGGCAATATTTTGGATGTGCCCAACCTAGGCACACTGTGCCAGAAAGGGTTCAAAGCAATGCAGGCTATTAGTTGTAAAATATTTTTTAAAAAAAAATTATAAGATACAGTGCAAGAATACTGACGAAGAGTTAGCAGGTCGTACATTCTTATGGGAGAAGTTAGAGATACTCTATAATTACCGTCGGTCTCACAGAAGAAGGAATCTATCTCATTAAGAGATATGTGAAATAATTAAGTCTCATTAAGGGGTATGCAAGGGGAAAAGTTTGAGTACTGTTGCATTAAACCAAAGAGCACAGTAACTTTTTATATCAACATTACACTTACTGATGATCATAGACTTGATCCTCCTCAACATTTAAGTACTAAATGTTGAGGAGGAGAAATTTAACAGAAATTTCTTTCCATAATGCAAAATATAGATTTTGTAAATGAAATTCAGAGGCTAAAAGGTTACACTTAATCTTGTTTGAATTGAGAATAACAATTGTTTTTCAGATATGCCCAGAACTGAAGATAGGGCTGGTGTAACTGCACTGAGTGGCAGAATTTAGCAAAGGTAAAATTTTTATAATTTAGAAGCATCAAGCAACAAAATTAAGAAAATCTTTTAGAATTTAGCGAAGGTACTGGGCATGCAAAATTTTTAGAACTTAAGGAGGTGCTTAGTAGCAAAGTTTAGGACTCTCGGAGACTGCAATAGGCCGCAAAATATCTAGTAGTGGCCTAGGATAATCCTTGAAGTATATGTGGGAATTTATTTATCCATGACTCAGATAAGTCTTAAGCACGTACAGAAAAAACCCATTAGTATAATAAATAACTAATGTTACTGAGACTTAACTTCATCAGCATATAATAGAAGCATGTCAAAATTTAATGGAACAATGCATCTTTAGCAGCCAATCTTAATACATCATCAATAGTATATAGTAGACACTAGCTAAGCTTTATAATTATAGTGAGAATTTGAAAATTTTCAGATATTGCAAAGAAAAACTGAAATTCTTCATTTAATGGGATTTGTGAAGAAATGTGGAGAAACAGTAATAAATGAAGATGACATAACAGAAGTTTTTCATTCTGATGGCAATGCCCCTATCATCAGTCAGCTAACAGATGGCGAAATCTATAGTATGGTTCTAAATCCAGAAAATCCGGATACTGAAAAAAAGTGACAGAATGGTTGTTGAGAATGAAAAAATTCTGATTGACAATTTAGTGGAAATTCTCATCACAGCAATTACAGGAAATGAACAAGAAATTATGTTAGATATAGAATTAAAAAAAAAATATTAGTACAAAAAATGAAGCAACTTAAAAAACTTATATTCAAAGAAATGTTTAATAATATAAACAAATAAATACTGAGATTTTTTTACAAATTTTGATTCCCTTACATTCACAAATGCTTCATTATTTCACATTTTTAACTTTAAAATTTCCACATGTCACATTACTAGATTTAAACTGATGATCAATTATCAGAATAGTCTCAAATTCAGAATCGCCAAAGTCGCGTTATGTCCTGATATTGGACTATGTAATGCATCATTAAACAAAGATACATGCAATTCCTGTGCTGATTGATTTATCAAATCATATTTAAATTCCTATCCCAAGTTTATCATTTTTACTGTTCATTCAATTAAATAAGAAAAGAATTCACAAAGAATATGCTCAGTACAATATTAATCTTATTCCAAAGAATTTAAACTTAAATGAGAAGCATCCTCTCAACTAAAAACAAAAATATATATAATAAATAAAAATTAATGCCATTTAGCATGTTCTAGTCCCCATTAATTTTTTCTTAATCAAAAAATAGTTATTTAAAGCTTCTTAAAATACTTCCCACGCTAGAATTTTACATACTTTCATTTCCTGTATTAAATCCTCTGTATAATGGCAAATATGACTGACATTTCCCAAAACGTTTTCTCATCACGAGAATAAAAACTTTCATAAAATTTATATAATATATATACATATATATTAAAAATTCTGTTGTATCTAAAAACATTACACAGATCCTCTGGATAATTTTTCTAAAGTCCTAGCCTACACAAGTAAGTAATTTAGTCTCAGGATGCTGTTACAAAATTTATTGCTTTGGAAAGCATACATCACGCATCTAAATGGATAGGATAAATACTGACTTTAAGTTTCTCATGCTCCACATACAGAAGAGTAGAAGTTTGGAACTACGAGATAAGTGGAAATACTACATAAAAGATAAATCCATACAACAGAAAAAAAAGGAGGGTCTAAAAAAATTCAAAATATAAAAGCGCAAATTTAAAAATGGAAGATCAAGAACATCTGTAAAATAAAATCTAGATGAATACAATGAGGAAAAAACTGGGAAAACAAAAGAAGAGAATATAACACCTCAAATGGCAACATGCAATTATAATTTTTAATTTTCTTGCAGTTTTAATTCCTTGGTGCTGATCTCCCATCTTATGTTCAGGATGTTAAGAAAAATAGTTCAGAATAATCCTTTATTTCATTGAAAGGAATTAGAATATTTTTTATTTGAAAATGAGTGTAGAAGCCTGATTCCTGTGCAAAAAAATGTCAACAATCTCAAAATGTTTATAAAAGAAAATGTTTGGCAACTTTTTCGAGAACGCACATTTTGGTGTATATTTTAACAGTACAATTTTTTAAATCTCTGATGTAATATGGAAGCACCAACAAATCTGTCAGTTACCAGTGCTTTAGTGATATACTAAGGAGTTAATAATTTAGTTACTATTTAATAGATGCAGACTGGCACAATAAATACAAATTCATGGGTGGGGGAAGCAACTTATTATATTAAGCAATGGGATAATTTAATATGGCATAAAAATGCAGTTTTAATAGAAATATCATAAATATGATAATTTAAAAAAAAGAATAATTACCTCATCAACCTGTGCTTGCGTATGCTGCAACCTCTTAGATGCTGCAGCCTGTTGGGGATTTGGTTGCCTCGTAGGAGGAGAAAGAGCTTCACTTTTCTCAGTGGACCTATTTTGAAAACATTTTTTATTATAAAAATGAAAAGTATACATATTTGAGTAGTATTTGATTATAATAATGAAAGTGAATTATTAACCACTTGCGCTAAAAAGACATGCCACGCGCATCGAGATGCTTTTGTTTCAAACCGCGAGCGACGTGAACACCACGTCGATAGGCATTTATCGCAAAGATGAAAATTACGTGCACGAGATTGTTTATTTCTCGAGTTACAGCTCTGAATTGCACTCCCAGACGCGGAGCGACGTAAATGAGACACTTTACTGCTTGTTATATTGTATCACACAGCACCGCAACCGTGAAGTTTAGTGGTTAAAAGCGCAAGTGGTGTTTAGTGGTTTTGTAGCGCAAGTGGTTAAAAAACTAAATATCATTCTAGCCATATGAAAGTTCAAAAACATCACTTAAGAATTTTCTAAAATTATAAAAAAAAATCACTGATAATATTAAATACCATACAATATTTGGATTATGTACATAAATTTGATAGTTTAATTGCTAAACTATGGTAAGATACAACTAATATTAAATAAAGTATATTGCATTAGAGACTTAGAACACTGCCTCATTTGCATAAAAATTACAAAATTCTTACATTTTAGTTAAAAACTGATAATTCTGAACAGACAATAAAGATTAAAAATATAAAATTTTAACAAAATATTTTTAAAAAAATCTGACGGCTTTCAGATTTCACATTACACCCAAAGAGGCTTTTTTTAAAAAAAGTTCTGTGTGTTACCTTTATTTATTACATATCATATTCTTCGCACTTAAACCACAAAATTCAATTCAATTGCAATATTGCAAAATAATTTTAAAATGAGAATATCTTTAGAACTTCCGATACACAGTCTCGTGCGCTGGAGATAATGTTTTTTTCGTGCAATGTTGCCATTGTTCGCTTTGAAATCATTGAATTAATCAAAAATTCGTTAAAGTATTACAAAATATGAAATAACATAAGTATTACATATGAAATAATATAATATATTGATAACAAAACAAATTTCAAATTCGGGCTTCTAAATGCCCATATTTGGAAGAGGATTACATTATTTAAAATTTGATGGCTCTAGGTACCGCTGTTTTATCACAATGCGAGAAACATACATTCATGCAGATTCTTCATTACTTAATTTTTTTAAATATAACATAGGGCAATAATATTTGGTGGCAACAACTTGAAAAGTGAAACAAACATTTAAAGTTTTCAACCCAAAATACCAAAACGAAACTAATAGCCCTTCTGGGCTAATGCCCTTTGGCCTAAAAATAAAATAAAACATAAATAAATAAAAGATTTTAAAAATAAGTTACTATTATATAATATGCACAAAACATGATAAAACAAAATCGTGGACACTCTCTGACAATCTGTATCTCCAGCTTCCAATAAGGTTAGAATTGTGAGGTTTTAGACATATTTTCAAGCATACAATCATCAATAGACAAATCATGCACACATGTGTCTGAATATATGTGCATTTATATGCTTTCTAGCTAACCACTATTTCAGTGTCCACCCTCATTCATCACTGTTTTTTCATCTAAGTGGATCTCAGGGTTAATAGGATCATGGAACGAGAAAAAGAACTGCATTTCTTTAGAAATACAGTGGTTTGCCTAAAAATACAGAATATAAAAATTCATGTTCTATAAAACTCTACTTCCTAAATGACTTAATTTTGTGCAAAAGCTATATCAAAAACTGCTAATAAAAATAAAGATACAAACATACAGATTTTGTTATAATTTTTTTCTTAAAATTACTTCTCCGGTGCTTTTCTGTTAATGGGGCACTAGTCACCATATGTGCACCAAAGCATCAAATATGGTAGTTTATTCATATTGCATGATGAACATCTCTGCAATGATAATATATGTAACACTTAATTTGCACAATGAGGAAAAAGTGCAATTCTCCAATTTCTTTTTCAGTGATTCTCCAATGTCTCTCAGTTTTCAAGATTGCTGTGCACCGTAATTTCAGACAGGTAAGCAAGTCACTCTGGTATCTATGCTGCATACACAATAACTAAGCAAAAAAAGAAAAAAAAAAAAATCACATTCTTCAAATAAACTGCACCGGCAAAGCCTTACCTTGAAACTTGCAAAAATGAACTCAGCTACTTTTTAACAGTATTTTTACAGCTTCAGTAAACTTTGCTTATCACCACAAATTACCATATCATGAAAAAGAATACATAAATTAGGTAATGGAACAGAATTTTACAATTAAACTACCTTATTTATACAAAACGTTCAAAAGCTGATTCATCAGTGTCAGAAATTAATAAACTTAACAAATGACCATCAAGAATACTTTCATCACTCTGTTCTAAATGGATTGACTGCCATGCTTTTCAAACCACAAGGCAACCTCCTCGTCCATCTGGAATTTGTGAAGGAATAAAATCCACTTTGCATCCATTTCTCACACTGCTTTCCTAGTTCACGTTTAAAAATTCTATCGATGGTGAGATCCAGTGGCTGTAAAATTTGCATAAACTCGCCTGGTATGACTGAGACATTGGGGATGAGTTTTTTGGTTTAGATTTTACAGTATGCACTAAAAGGGATCACAATGAATCGAGAACTACAAGTCCCTGAGGTTGGAAAAAGCAACTTTCCTTTTTCAATAAAATTTCTCTTCACCAAAATAACATTGCTTCTTCACACATCCATACTTTTTCGCTGATGCAAATAATGAACGCTTTATCACAGTTTCCTTTCCAAACTGTTTTTCTTTTGAAAATTATCACAGGAGTTAACTTTGCTCCATTGTTGTCACAATCCAAAAGACAAGTAAATGAAATCTTTTTATTCCTGGTTATTAATACTGAAATAATTATTTCACTTGTTGAATAAACAATTCTGCTCAGAGCATAATTAAAAGTAATGGACATTCCATATTAATTATTTGCCTTCTATTCAAATTTTATTCTATAATTTTCTTAGATACGTACTCCAAAAAAAAGTCCATGAGAAGCTGCTGCCAAACTGTTATTTTGATCCTGATTGATAATTCTTTCATTTCATAAACGTGAAATACCAATTAGGTCCTCCAACAAAGTTTTTAATGCCAATTTGTTAAGCAATTACTTTTGCTTAAACATAAATTTTAATTGTTGACACTGATAATCCCTTTTCTATTTGCTCTGTCGTCCATTTTTTTATCTTAAACTGTCTTCCAAAACGGTCAGGTTATGATGGCAGTCCGACAAGATCTTTTATGAATACGTATTTATGTTTAGACATGTTAGTTATGTTAATGTTTAGGCATTTCCTCCAATTTTTCTTGTCTGAATTTCCACTGCCGAATCCATCTCTCATCAACGAATTCTCTAGCTGCAGCAAGATTTCCAATTTCTGTTGCTTTCTTCACTGCTAAAAGCTTAAACAGCTGTACAAATTTTTCTCTGAGCAGGAGGTATAATTGTTTTAATTCAACATGCGTGAACAATCAAGTAAACACGGAAACAAGCAAGCCACAAAGCAATGATATGTGTAAGAAAAAAGAAATTGGCAACGTCCTGTGCCTGTTACAAGAAAGATGGTCTTGAGAAAACACAGACAAAGCCAACAGATGATTAACAAGTTTAGCAGAAAGTACATTCACTATACTGTCTTTGCACTGGGTGCGAACTATCGTAGTTCTGCAAGTTTCACATGATTTCTAACTGCTTGATTGCCTTACAGCAACCTGAGCACTCAAATCGGGCTAAAATGTCACAGTAAATTCTTCAATAACCACTTTGCTTGAAAGTACTTTAGAATATAAACTAGTGAGGTTATAAAAATTAAATGGATCTAAATCCAGAAAATATAGCAGCCAATAGTAAAAAAAGTAAGAGGCTGCTGAGAATGAGAAAAATTTGACTGACAATTTAGAGAGAATTCCTGACACAGCAATAACCGAACTTGAATAATGGAAATTTGAAAATATGTCTATCTATAAAATTAAAAAGAAAGTATTTGCATAAAAATGAAGCAGCTTAAAGCATGTTATATTGAAAGAAATGTTTAAATAAAGCAATCAAATCAATACTGAGCTTTTTTAGAAATTTTGGCTCTCTTAAGATCATAAACGTTTCATTGCTTCATAAAAAAACTCTTCCACAGTTTTAATTTTATAATTTATACATCTCATCTTACTAGATTTAACTGATGATCTAAAATTGCCAAAGTCCTGACAAGTCCAGATCTTGGACTTTGGATGTAAGAGGGATAAAAGGTTGTACTGTATTATGAAAATTGTGATCATGTGTCCGAACATGTGGGCTTCCCCACAAAGCAGTTTTAGGGTTGCCATAAATTGAAAAAGGAAGGCAGGGTTGCCACACTTGGCGAGAAATCGCCCACTTGGCAATATGCCATGGACAGATGAAGAACTTTCTGGAACGAATTCTTATCGGCTTAGCCCAGAATGTTCTCGAACATGGTACTATTTGTTTTCGAGGGCCGTAAAAAAACGCCAAACTATTGTTGATGCCAATGCTGCAAAAAATAATTGCGGCAAGAAAGGAAGTATAATAGTCAATAACTATCTAAGATTGATGTTTTAATTTAAATGAAAGGTTAATTTCATATAATACTTTTTTATTATAATTTATATGAAAAAGGCTAAACATGACTGAATGGAAGCATAAGAGTGAATACTATTTCAGATCATTATTATAATTTATATAAAAATTGCTAAACATAACTGAATGGATGCCTGCATCGCAATTTCATGACGACTTATCGCTAAAGCATAATTTCATCTCATTGGTTGTTCAAATGTAATTTTCTATAATGAATGATGCCTTTTCTTTGAAAACATTCAGAATCGGAATTCAGAAGTGCAGAATCGCTGACTTATTTGTTTGTCACTTTTTTACAAGGGTAAAAACAATTGGATTTTTGTCAATTTTATTTTACTTTTTAAATGAAAATAGGTTGATGTGTACATAGATAAAGTCAAGGGTTGCGCAGTGCCATTTTTGTGCAGTTCTGGGATTTTTTTTTAAGTGAAACTAGGTCGATGTGCACATGGATACCGAGTATGTCCAATTCTTAAAAACGCGTCAAGCAGTGAGCGATTCTGCACTTTACCCAAAATTCTATTGCCGACTTTTCATCATGGGCAACTCCCAAATTGTTAAATCCATAGGATATCGGAAAAAGATTTAAAAATTAAACTAGTATTTCAATGGCGTCTTAAGAAATATAGAACTACATAAACTTACGCAATCTGAAACCAGCGCGTACGCTAGATTTGGCGCGCTGTTAAATGGGTGCGTTTGCTAGACTTGACCCTTTTGCGTATACATTTTCGCTGCAATTAACTTGTAATATTTAGGCATTTTCTGACTACACACATTGCTTTCTATAAAACGTCAGTAACTCATTGTTGACTTAAAAAAAATCAGGAACATTTGTTTGGCTATTGTTATGACTCATTTATTCTATTCATGAATCATAATAAAAAGAAACACTTTAAAATACTAGAAATTTTATGAGCAAAGATAATCTATAATGTCAACATTTATATTTTTTTCATAGCTAGTGGATATTGTTAAGCAAAATGACAGTTCAAAGTAAAACATATAATTTTACATATACTCAAACAGGTATCTGGTATATGCCTGTACAGGTTAGTTGTTGTCACAAATAATATTAAAAAATATGCCAAATACACTACAGTTCTACCAAATGCTGAAACTTGATGTGAATAATCTGAAAATATCAAATTTTATCCACTTAAATGATAACAACAGCAGGAATTTCTTTTTAAAATCTTCCAATCAGACTCAACTACATGAAAATTAAAAATATTATTAAAAAATTAAAAACTCTTATCTGAGAAGCAAGATGAATAAAAATATTCTTAAACCTTTTATTATGTGCAAAAGATAAAAAATCAATAACAAATTATAGTAGTAATCTGGAATTAACCAATACAGTAGTTAACAAACATATTCCATTGCAGATTTGATGTTAGATGATAATATAATCTGATGATTTCAAGGAAACTTTAAATTGACTGATTTCAAAGCTAAATGTCACTAGGTTACCAAAATTCTCATTTTATGGGTTTTTAACACTATTGTTGAAGAAAATTAAAATCGGTATAAAAACTGTACTTTCTTGAATAAGAATACTTGCGCTGCAAATATCTATAAAATGGAAAAAAGATAAGATTTACTATATGCGAAATAAATGTCATGCAATTTCATGCACATATTTTGCACTACATACTATACTGACAAAAAGAAAAATGACAACTTATAACTTCAAAATAAGGGACTACTTCTGATGTCTGAGAATTATCTGCTTTATTAAACCAAAGATTAACACAAATTATTAAAACTGCTTAAAGATTACGAATATAATTTTCCTTACAAAACCTGATCAAACAAATTATGCCACAAATATCGGGCAATCAAACTATGAAAATGCTGAATAAATGTAATACATTAATTACATATTCTTAATACTATTTATGTTGTAACCGGAAAATAATAACAAATACATAAAAAGAAACGGAGATATTTAAATGACGAAGTACAATACAAATTTATTTTGTTTAACAAAATAACTTGAAAATCGATACTTTCATTTTAAAAATAGTTAAATAGTTCTTTAACAATCCTTAAAACGCAATACAATAGTCAACGGCTATCCGTCTTACATAGTGCATAAGTAATGCAGTAGCAGAAATTTTCCGGGTGTCATTCTTCTCATGAGTCATACTGATAGTTTGTTTAGAGATATCACCTTTTAATTTTTTTTTTTTTAACGCGCTTCTATATAGCTTTAAAAATATAAATCTCAGAACAAAGTTACTCACATGGTGCCCTTTAAAAATTGGAACAAATAATTTACAATCTCCAACAATCTTCACTTCCTAGTTCGTAAACTTCTCACCCTCACAACGTCGATGGCGGTCAACGTCGCCCACTAAATTAATTAAAGAAATGTAGAGACTATTGCCACATTAAATCATAATGAATATATAATATGCTTTTAAAGTAATTAAAATTCATACAGGGAATTTGTTAGCATTAAAAGTTTAGGAAATATCGCCCAATATATCTGATAAAGAGTATATATATTAAATTGATATTCAACATAAAAAGTCATATCAACTAATTTTGATGAAAAACAAAAACAAAAAATTAAATTTTAAGATTCAGAATAAAAAGATTATTTTTTAGATTTTTTGATAAGTTATCCGTAAATCCTAATTAAAAATACAAATGAAAGAGGCATGGTTTTTTAATAGTAGATTTATAGAATTTTTAATAAGTCTAAAAGAAAATTCTTAAAAAATAGCTGCATTTAAGAGATTAAACTATTAATTTAAATATTTGCAACAGATTATTCATTTAGTTTAAAAAAGAATTAATTGGGACTCGTTTATAATATTTTTGACTTTTCAATATTTGCTAATGACAATTTATTTCGTTTTTAATTTTCGTTCTTATTTCTTCTAGCGGGTAGAAAGACTTTAAATTTCTCTCTGTTTGTTTGTTTATGCTGTATGGTTAATTAACCTAGCTATCTATCAATAAAAGAGCGTCCTCGTGTCTAATCTTTTAACTATCCAGTGTTGCTTTTCAGTTAAATACTAAAAATGGCGTCTCGTGGATTATTAGAAACCAGTAGATTGAAGCATAATCTTCAAGATCAATTAGACAGACTTATGGCTCAGCTAACTGATCTGGAGGAGTGCAAGTACTGTACTAAACATTTTCTAAATTCATATTGCGATTAATTTAGAGAGTATAATAACTAAAATCTCTCTGCTTAAAAAAAATCTTTTAAATAAATTTTGTTACACATTTATTCCGGTAAAAGTGTATCATACATGACATAATTTTAAAGTAGCAATTTTCAAGGTTTTTTAGGTAATTTAAGTCTGGATTCAATATTGATATATCAAACTTAAGTTTTAAAACCTGTATAAGTCAAGTATTTAATTTTATATAGAGACTGAAAACAGTTCATTCGAGTTAAAAGGCATTTGTTTCCGTATTAGGAAAATATATTTTCCTTCCTTTAGAAAACTAGAAGTTGATATGCAACCGGTATTTGAACTTGGTTTGGGGCATGTCAGCCTAAAATATTTTATTTTGTTTAACTTCATTTAATTCACATGAGCCTTTAATTCTTCAGCCTATTTTATTATATCATCATTTTTCAAACATTTTATTCTTTTCTATCAGTTATCATAATTTGTAAATTATCACATTTTGTAACCAGTAACATGACATGGGCAACTTGACTTGTGAAAGGATTCCAATAAATTTATATTATGAATAGTAGTAAACAATTTTCAGTTTTTGCTAAATATTGTAAAAGTTGCAGTATTGATAGTAATACATAACTGAATGCCACAATTAGTGAAGGTGATGCAAATGAATGTTTTTATTTTATTTTTTCTCCACCACATAAGGATCCCTCTGGAGGAGATATTTTGATGAGATGCACTGCCTTAATATGGGGGTATGGGGGGGATAATTTTAGGTATTACTTTTTTATATTTTTCCAGCATGATAAATAAAAGTATTTTGAATTTCAAGAAAATTCCTGAATACATTATAGTCTTTTTTCTTACTGCATAATTTCTCTCAGACAGATATGGAAACAGCAACTTTAGTTTTGTCCACCATGTATACATAACATCTCAGTCATCTATAAACGTTAGCAAAGTTTTATATTTCTTGTGCACTTTTATAACAAAGTGTATATTCATAACAATCATGTAACCTAATAGATGTATTTAAAATATCATAGTTATGCTTTTCCCCCCTTTCTCAAATCTTGTTTTGAATCATTCATTTTATTAGAGGAGAATATCTTTCTTACCCCACATAATATGACATGGCAGTTGATGCTCTTTCCTTACTGCTTTGTGTGATTAGTCATTTAAGATTATGTTCTAACAAGCAATGATTTCAAGATGGCACATATGCTAAAAATTGTAAAAATAAAATTATGGCTTTCTTGGTTCAAATTGTTCTTCGAAGTGCTATATTTTCACTTGCTCGTAAAATAGCCTCACTGATGGTTTAATAGTTAAGACTGATGAGTACTGGTAGTTTGAGCCAGGTGAACAGGCTGGCTGCATGATTGGTTTTCACAATTTTCTCTATGTGTGAACTTGAATACAGATACAATTCCTCAGAAAATGCTGTAAAAAGGCATCCTTTCCCTTAGGCAGATAGCCCTATGATTTGCCATATTCAAATAACTTAAACTGCTTATTTAAATTAAACTTTTGTTTTCAAAAATATCTTTTCTACATATCTAAATGACATATATATCAAGTTAATCAACATATGTTGATTAGTGTAAATTCCAGAGAACTTCATGAATAGATATTTTATTTATAATCATTCCACATTTAAGCACCAGTTACCAGTTATTGCTTATAACTATAAGGAATACATACTGAGAAATGCTGTCTTTAATTCAAAGAGATTAAAATCTATATTAGAATTAAGATAATTATGCATTTTAAGATAAAATAATAGCATTTAAAAAATTCTATATTAAAATAAATAAATGTATAATGTAATTTTTAGAAAGCAAAATTTTTTCATTAGGTTAGGTATTGTAATTGTGTATTCAAAATAATCAGGAATGTAAATATTTTTAAATTATGCATTGTAATATTGAAAAAATCTTCAAAACTTCGTATCTCTATCTTCAAAGTAGTGTAACATTTTTCTGTTTTATGCTTCATAGAAATGAATTAGATAATGATGAATATGAAGAGACTAAATCTGAAACTATTGAGCAGCTGAAAGAGTTTAACATATCTCTGAGCAAAATAATATCTGGTAATATGACTCTTGTTGATCAACTTGGAAGCCTGCAGTTGGTAATGTATCTCTCTCTCTCTCTCTCTCTTTTTTTTTTTTTTTTTTTTTTTTTTCTTTTCTTTTGTCTTCTATTATCTGGTACTTTATATTCTGTTTTATTATTTTTAGTTTATTTATCTTACTGTCCTGAATCTTTCATAATATATTAACATCTGTTTGATTCATATTAATTTTTATTTTATTTTGCTTTCCTTGAAAAGAATATATCAGTATTGACTTTAAATTAAAGTTCATCATGTATAGTGATATGCAATTAAAAAAAAGTAGATTGATATAAATAATTTTTAATAAAGTGTACAATAAGTGGCACTTCCTTCTTATAGTGGTGTTGGCATAATTCAGACTTAAAAGGGTGATTTGTTGCCTAATGTTGTAGAAGTTGTGAAAATGAAACTGACTAAACCAGTGGTTCTCAACCTTTTGACTAACACGTACCATCTAAACAAAAACGTGAAAACTTTAGTACCATCACTACATTTTACAATGATTATTTTTCAATTTCTCAATTGCCATTTACACAAACTATTGGATATTTGTATTAAATATGCACACATAAAAATGCTAGATTAATATATTAGTTGCCATTTTAATTATCAAAATTTAAGTTGTAATACTTTAATTCTAAAATTTAGTGTGAAATTTGGGTATGTTTAATTGAAATCAGTTTCATTATGTCTTATTTCACTTAGTTTGAACCTTAAATTAGAATCCACTTTAATTTTGTTTGGTATTTATTATTATTATTATTATTATTATTATTATTATTATTATTTTGGTTCAGTCAAAAGTTAACAAGTGTTATTTTTTAAATTTTCAGTTACAGTTCAATCACAGGAAATTTCTATCAATTGTTCTTTTTCTTCACCAGATTTTTTAGTGGTATGCATACCATTTTTTGAGAATCACTGGACTAAACCATGCAAATCATAATTTTAGTAATTATTTACATAAAACAATTTATTTGATTTCTGGCAAAGTATGAAATCTGGTATTCTATAGAATACTTAGGTATTTTATAGAATTCCAAAAACTGGCCAGCAATGTATGAAATGATTAAACATTTCACTGCCTAGACATTCTGTAGCTCCATAGCACAGACCGGTGCCACCGATCCGCAAACAATATTCGCCAGTCCTTCTAAATTCAGAAGTATCATTACAATATACCTATCATTGTTTACAAAAGAAAAGTATTAAAATTCGGCAGCTGTGTATATTATCATACATACTGCATGACACATTTGCTCCTCAAGTTTTCTCCAGGGATAAATAGAAAGGGCTAGCTCATTTCTTTGTTTGACTCCTCGCCGACGCGAGTCTAATGGGGGACTTAACAGGCAGTAATCTGACGTCACTGTGATGCCACCTGTTCTGATTTCCCGCGTTTAAAACTGTAGTTTCATTCAGCTGCAATACGATTTTCTAGAGGTTACATATCCCAAATTAATTTTAATCATATATATATCTGTTTTCTTATAATGTATATATTTAAAATAATTTATATATATGCAATTTTAGTGAGTTTTTATTTTAAATTTTATATTGTAAAGTACCGTTTACGTAATATGGCTTTTTGCGCTGTAGTAACATTAGTAACATGCTGTAGCACTTATAGTAGTACGAAAGGATATTTTATTTCATGGGACCAAAGGATCCAAATGAGATTTTGCTTTCAACGAAAAAATGGATACACAAATGTCAAAGGCAAGATTCTATTAATGTGAAGAGCGGAAAAATCTGCAGTGAACATTTTCTATGCAGTGTTTATGAAGATGATATGAAAAATCGCTTGTTTTCATATCAATCATACAAAAAGAATACAAAAAGAAACATATTTCATACAAAAAGAAACTGTTGAAATGAAATGCTGTGTCGAAAGTAAATTATGATTATAATAATAAATTGAAATTGATGATGACAATAATAAATCAAATTTTAATGATTTTGAAATAAAACTCACAAATGAAAATGTAGATATTCCTGAATGCCCTAAGTTGAAGGATAAACAAGAATGCATTAATAATTTGAAGAACAAAATAATATCATTAGAAAATTGTATTAAAGCATTGAAAAATAGAGAAAAGAAAAATTTTAGAATGTTTGTTCAGCGGCAAAGAAGGTGGACAACATCTAGACAGAAATTGGTATCAGAAATTAAAATCTCAAATAGCGAATTTTTTTAGGGGGGGAGGGAATATATTCCTGAATGCCCTAAGTTGAAGGATAAACAAGAATGCATTAATAATTTGAAGAACAAAATAATATCATTAGAAAATTGTATTAAAGCATTGAAAAATAGAGAAAAGAAAAATTTTAGAATGTTTGTTCAGCGGCAAAGAAGGTGGACAACATCTAGACAGAAATTGGTATCAGAAATTAAAATCTCAAATAGCGAATTTTTTTAGGGGGGGGAGGGAAGCACAAATCGGAGAATTTGAAAAAATGTCTAAAGCCTATTTTTATAAAGACAAAGAATAATGTACGAAAAAGAAGGAAAAAATCAGGTGGACTAGTGAAGATATTTCACATTGCATTGTCATAAGAGCTCTGTCATCTTAAAGCTATGATTTTTGGAAAGGAAAAAAAATTAAGAAAAAAATTGGAATATCTTTACCTAGTATTAGCAAATTAAAGAAATGGTGTGCTAAATTGTAGTGTAATCCAAGAATTCAAAGCGATGTTCTTACTCTAAAGAAGGAAAGAGGTGAATATTTGTATTCTGTAGAAAAAATATGCGTTCTCAGTTTCGACGAAATGCATAGAGATTGAAAACTCTGCCATGACTCTAAACTGGACCAAGTTCTTGGTTCTTTTCAAAATGTGCAGTTTGTTTTAATCAGAGGTCTCATTTCGGGCTCTGCCTCAAATTACTGAGAAACCACGCTTTAGATAAAGGATTTATTTTAGAAATATGAAATACATATTCATATTATACACAATAAATAGGAAAGCATATAATAATGCATGCAATATTTTGGCAATTGTAATAAATTTAATGGAGGATAGTTTTTACCGACTTGGAACCTCTGAAAGAATTTTAAAACAACTATATAGAAGATCAAAATTTATTTTATGTTCTAAGAACTTGAGAATTCTAAGAATTGAAGGCATTTCTGGTTATGAAATTCCTCTCTGGTTAGTTGCAGTTGCTCAATTCAATAAAAGTAAGGATTTGTCAAGTGTATGTGTAAAACAAAATGCCGAAATATGAAATGTCTTTGTGTAAAAAAATAATGAATGAATTCAAAATATCATTCAAGCCTACCATGTTGCAATAAATAGGTTAGTTTTAATTTCTTATTTTTTATGTGAAAATTATACTTTCATTGATATAAAGGCGTAAATTTTGTTTCGTGTAACTTTCACTTTTTTTTATGTATTTGAAATAAAAATTTTTGATGGTACTCTTTCATTATTTTTTCAAAAGAATATCTGTATTTTTGAGAAATGAATGTCTTTCTATAGAATGCTTAGGAATTACAGTACAAAGTCTTTAATCCGGACTCGTCGGGACTTCGGCGATTCCGGATTAGGGGTTTTTCTGGATTATAGATCATCAATTTAAATCTGGAACAATGACATGCAGAAATTATAAAATTAAAAATAAGAAACCGTAATTTATGAAATAAAGAGCAATTATGATCTAAATGGTATCAAAATTTACGAAAAAAAGCTTAATATTTATTTGTTTACTTTATTAAACATTTCTTTCAATGCACATACATTACGCATAGTCGAAATTAGAAAATTGCAACCAGAAAACTAGTTGATGTATATTTGTGATATTTATAATGATGAGGAATTTGATTTAAGTCACATCAAAGATGGAGTACATCGAGATAAAATACAACATTTAGTAAGGAAATATAAGCCAAATAAATAAAAACATCTGCCCTGAAGATGATGATAGTGCTGACAGATCAACTTCCAGTTCATAGTGCACCGCAACGTACCCCCCACAGAGCAGCGTGAAATTGATAAACAAATTTCGGAAGGGTTATAGAAACAAAGGATATGCCTTTATCCATTTTTTGAAGCAATTACACTTTTTGTTTGATGGACATCGAAACATGCTTTCGCTTTGTAAATCCTTACTCTTTTTGACATAGCCCACCAGCGGCCGAGCGGTAAAGTCGCTGAACACTGGTAGTTTGGTCCGAGGTTCGAATCCCGCGAACGGGCTGGCTGCATGGGCGTTTTCGTGGTTTTCCCCATGTGTAACGTGTATACGAGCCAGTTTCCCTTAGAAAGTCCTCCACGAAGGCATCCCTCCTCTTAGGCAGATAGCCCTCGAGGCTTTGCCATAATCACACACACACACACACGCACACTTTTTGACATAATCAAAAGTTCAAGCTTACTTTTTATAAAATTGCTCTAACAGTCTGCAAAAAATAATAAGCCAGATCCAATTAGAAGATTAAGGAATAACGCAATCTGGAACATTAACTGAAATAGATAATTTTAGCCTAGCTTATACCGTCCGTTATACATTAAATGCACATGCTTAAAGGTATTATGCGTTTACACATGCGCAGAAAGTTTGTAGCTTTGAGGTCTGGATTATAGACCATTCCGGATTAAAGACTTTGAACTGTATATACGATGCCTAGGTAAAGTACATAATAATTCTCCTATTTCATACTTTGTGGAAAACATGTACATACATATATGCATGGGAAATTTAATATGAATTTATATTTGTTATATTATTTAATATGATATAATATGCAATTTAAAATAAACATGTATATAAACATACCAAAAAATTCAATCGTAAGAGAAGCTTTCTAATAGCTGTTGTTCAGCAATTGCTGTTAAGGATCTGTCAGATGCCTGTAGCCAACAGGCATGGATTCTTCTAGGTATGACCTTAGGTCAATGGATCTTAAACTTTTTTTAACTTGGTACCTCATATATAAGAAGAAAAGGCATATGTGCCATCATGTACCAGTGGTCGAGAATCAACTGAATAACAGGATTAATTGTTATATTAATCC